ATTAAGCAAAGTATTTAAAGAGACAGTACAGGCAGTCATAGATTAAGGGAATAAAGGAAAATAAGCCACATAGAAATAGAATATACACAGAGAGTCTGGTTTATGTATGCTATTGTGTTTTCTATGAAGATTATGAATGTGAATGAGCTAAGCACAAAGGGCCATTTCATTGTATGTGCTGCTAAGCTAAAGCAACATATATACCATAAAGGTATCTTGACTTTAGAATTTGGGTATAAGGTTCGCTTTTCTTTCAGAGAGGATGGAAAGCTGTAGATTCCTTACTGCATAGTATGGTTTGATCAAACAAGTGCCCCGGAAACAATGGCCTATGTATTCCAACAATCACAACAGCTTCAGGACTGAAGGTTGAGATATATCATACACACAGGATACCCCCATGAAAGACCTGATTTACAGTGCTTCTAATCAGGAGGAAGTAATCTAGAGAACAATGCCCAAACTCCCAAATATTGTTTATAATTGTTAGTTTTCCTTTAAATGGGGGTATGATCCAGACATGAATACTTTGTATTAGTATGTATTTTGGTAAATTGATACAAATATAAGGCCAATTTTGTTATATGTATATCTCTACTCTTGATGAAGGTATTGTGTTTGTGCTACTCATTTAAAAATTTAAAAATGTAATGTGCGTTTAAGAAATACAGGTTATTGAGTTCTCAGTAGTCCTCATTGTCCGCTATGTTCAGCGAGTCCGGTTTTATCCCAGGCTTTTTCAGACCCAGGCCAGCTGGCCTTGGTGAGTTTTCAATAGAACATCCCCTTTGTCTCAGTGTGTGGGTGCACCCCTTGCAGTCCTAAGTTCCTTGTTCATGCTCTCTCTCCTGTTCCTGATTTGGACCTTGAGATTTCTGTCCGGTGCTCCAATGTGGGTCTCTGTCTCTGTCTCCTGAGAACTCAAGAACAATGGCAATGGGTTTTTGATCCTACTGCACGTACTGGCTTTGTGGGAGCCTAGGCAATTTGGATGCTCACCTTACTAGACCTGGATGGAGGTGGGTGGTCCTTGGACTTCCCATAGGGCAGGGAATCCTGATTGCTCTTAGGGCTGATGAGGAAGGGAGACTTGATTGGGGGAGGGGGAGAAAAAGGGGAGGCGGTGGCGGAAAAGAGACAGAAATCTTTAATAAATAAATAAATAAATAAATAAATAAATAGAAATACAGGTTATTTACAATATTCCTCTTTCAGTCATGTTAGTTAGCTTTGCAAGATATACAAAGATATATTACAGATAGATAAGTATTTTTCAACTCTTTCAAAGATGTCTTAAAATCTATGACTTTTCATGACAATGAGACACATCTGCTCCTGGCAGCACCAGTCTACTTCAAGAGGATTACAGGCATTGAAGAGGCTCCTTATAGAGTTTGTTAGTGATTTGGTGAAGAAACTGCTCTTGTCTAGACTGTTTGATGTTATGCTGTATGCAATGCAGGACCCACAGAAAAATGACTGCTGAAATTGCCTAAAGAAGGTGAGACAGTCTTTGAGGGTTCTTGCTTCATGAAAGAATCTGCCAGACAATCTGCAGGACACAGTAGAAAGCAACTGACAAACTGCCAATATAGGCGGGACTGGCTTTGAAATTTACTACTTCATGGAAAGGCTGTAAGATGCTATGTTGCTGTAGGCTGAAGTTGGGTGCCCCAATGTTACATAAGAACTTTGAGTTACTGCCCAGGCATCAAGGTGTCTCTGTTAATTCTAGAGATTTGGAAGTGCTTACAATACACCTGTTTATTTAGTAATATTATATCATTCTGGAGGTTTTGATGGAGTTGAAGAAGGGATTGTTATAATTAAAGTTTTCCTTAGTTATGATAAAGGAAAAGGTATATATAAATATTGTAAGCATAATTTTTGTTTGATACCTGTTTTCTTATAAGTAATTTTACTATGTAAAACTTAAAACCTTCCTTTTTATTTAGATAGAAAGGGGAGTTAATGTGGGATTCCCCTCTGTATGCTGTGAATATGTTTTACCATTGGTTAAGTAATAAGCTGTTTGGGGCCAATATCAGGATACAATATAGCCAGGCAGGTCTGTCTGTCTATCTATCTATCTATCTATCTATCTATCTATCTATCTATCTATCTATCTACCTACATATCTATCTGTCTATCATCTAGAGTAGGTGGAGTCAGAGAGATGTCAAGTAGTCCCCCTAAGGAGACAAATGGCCAGGAATCTTACTGGTAACCACAAGCCTTGTGGTAAATTACAAAATAATAGAAATGGGTGGGTTAATTTAGGATATAAGAGCTACATTTCAGAATATGCTAAAATCAATTAATGGAGTTTTGTGTAATTATTTCAGTACTGGGCAGCCAGGAACTAATACTTATCCTTGATGTGAATAGTCATGCTTCCATATAATACGTTATTCCTGTCTTCTATGAAAAGGAATGCTGGGAAGAATCTGGGCTTACAAATGCAGTCAGGTATGCTGAATGGAGAGACAAGAGCTTCTAATACAATGGCAATGCATGGGCTCTCAGATAAAACAGGCCATACTAAAAAGGGTTTATTCCAATTGTTCTAGTGTATTTTTTTTTTTACATAGCAATGATCTGTTTTGGAGAGGGCAGTCTTAGTTTCATTTTTATGAATTCATGCATGGGCTTGCTTAAAAATATTCCAGAAAGTTCTTTCAGAGACTTAATTATTATGACAACCTGCAGTCTGACTTTTGGGCATAGATAGGTATATGCTGTGGATCATGTGGAAGTTCTAAAGAACTTCAAACCATCAAACCATGGGGTCAGTACAAAGCATGCTCTGTGGGGAGGCCGAAGACATGGTGATGGAAAACTTTTCACGGAGAGGGGTCTGTATTAGAGAACATGTACTTTGTATCTTTTAATCATGGTATTATACTTACACATAAATTATATAATTATATACTAAATGAAAGGCTAAGAATTTATTATTACGAAGTCTCATACCTTCATTTTCATCACTTTGGGGACAGAGGTAGGCAGATCTATGATTTCTAGGCGAGCCTGGTGTAAAGAATGAGTTCCAGAACAGCCAAGGCTACCCAACAAAATCCTGTCTGGCAATTTTCCCTCACAAAGAAAATATAGACAATAAACTATAAAATATTCATTATTTCATATTTTAAAAACATAGCAAATGCTTATTGTGGTAGTTTTGTCTGTTCAGTGGAGATGCTGACTGTCAAGGAAGAGAAGATCTTGCTCTGCAGCTGCCACAAGTAACTGCTGTTGCAAGGTTGAACTTTATCATGATGCATGTGCCTGGATTTCATAGGTAGATAGCTGCATAATGCTGCCCTGAGTCACATTCAAGAGGGCTCATACAGAAATGCAGGCTTTCTTATAGGAAGTCAGGATCTATTCCCAAGGATCCAGGTACATGCTCACGCTGCAGGCACCTCTGATTGTTTTCCATTGTTATCAATTAGAGCCAGCTTCCATGTTAAATTACATTTTTTTTTTCTGTCTTTCTAGTTTCAGGTTCCCTGTTTCTGTGGTAACAACAGGGAGAGGGAGAGAGACATGCAATAGCAGCTCAGATGAAAATCTCCATAGTTACAGCAGACCCTTGATTTCCATTGGTAGCTTTGAGATCTGTCTCTTGATTGGCCCCAATCCATTCTCTAGATGATATCACACACGTAGCCAATCTGAGGCAACCGGAGATAATATCAGTCCCTTCACAAAGGGGTTTTTTCAGTCAGGCTCCTGGCTGGAGTCCAGCTCTCAGCTGGATCCTGGTTCTAGCCAGGACCTGACTATAACATAGTGGTCAGTGAAGGAGCATTGCTCTTGAAACCTACCAGGAGACAGAGTTAATTGATACCCAGCATAGCCAGGTACTTGGTAAGATTTCCCATAAGCTGACTGTGTCACCTGCTCCTTTTTCCTGTGCAGGGAATGTGTTCCGACTTCCAAAGCTGCTTCGTCCCCTGTAAGATACGTCATCATCATTCAGCTTTATATTTTGGCATTATCTGCAATGCATGGGATTCATCTCAGACATATGTATCTAAACAAGACAGGAGACCTGCTGCTCCTTACCCTCCCTTCATGGGCCTACTGTGTGAATACTTTTCTTTTATAATTTTAATTTTAATAATTTTAATTTTAATAATTTTCTTACATGGCCACCTGAAACTCTGAGAGCTCACAGCTGAAACATTTGCTGATACTATGTTTTATATGCATGTTGTCTTTTCATTAAATATAGTTTTTTTCTTATAATATATAATGACTATGGTTTTCTATTTCCTGTCCTCTTATTCCTTTAAGATATATTCGACATTCCTGCCTGCCCAAATCTATACACTTTCCTTCTGTCTATCTGTCTGTCTCATGCTCTCTGTTTCTCTCTTGCATGTGCACTCTTCATTTATTACTTCCTCTCAATTGAATATACCCAGACATCTAATAATAATAGTGATGATAATAATAATAGTACAATATCAATAATAATAAAAATAAAAACATCAGAATAGGACAAAAGAAACAAGTATAAGAAAAATAGGCACAGGAGAGGAGAAAAAGATACATAGATGCAAAGACACATATCTTCATGCAAACGTAAATGTCACAAAAACACAAATGATGTGGGATTCTCCTCTGTATGTTTGAATACCATTGGTTAATAAAGAAACTGGCTTGGCCTGATAGGATGGAACAGAGTGTTGCTGGAAAAACTAAACTGAAATCTGAGAGAAAAGAAGCTGAGTTAGAGAGATGCCATGGAGCTACTGCCAGAGACAGACACACTGAAACGTTGTTGTTACACCATGACCTCGTGGTGTTTCCCAGATTAATGGATATGTATTAAATTAAGATGTAAGTGTTAGCCAATAAGAAGCTAATGGTCCAAGCAGTGATTTAAATAATAAATTTTCTGTGTTATTATTTTGTACCTGGGCAGCTGGTAAACAAACAAGGGGCTTTTTACAATAACCATATGCATTTACATATAGGCAAAGGACATATGAAGACAAAAAACTACTAAAAAGAATTATGAGACAACAAATCTCCAAAAATGCAGTTTAGGGCCCTGTATGTTTACTACCTTCTGATGGTTATTGAATCCTCTCTTAAGAGTGGTTTGTATGTGTAGCAAGATTCCACTGCCTGAAGCACATCATTCATTTTGTTTCAGGTATTAATTGGACCAATATTCTGGATTTGGGATAGGGTCTTGTGAAAGGTTTCTCTGTTCTAGTACCAAATGATAGTCTCAGAGCAGAGAACTATAAATGTAACAGCCTCATTTTTTCCATTTTGTTTTCTTCAAGAACCACACATACTATATGTTCTAATTTAATTCTCATTTCAGGTACATTTTTTTTCTACTGTGTATTGAATACATTCATTTACTCTTCCATCTCTGGACATTCCAGTATATGAGATAAAGCAAGGTAAGGTGACTGTCCATATTTACATGGGAAAAGCTTTACTATCAAGTATATAGTCAAGGATACTTACATCCTTCTTTCCTAAAAAAGTTAAGTTATACTCAAATGGATGCTGATGTATAGTAAGTTTGTAAGAATTCAGTATATATTCATTACATCATTCTACTAATTGTTACTGTAATCTGCAAATGTAATATTTCAATTATTGGAGTTAAATAAATTATTTTAAGCTTAATTTTCAATTTATAAATAAACAAACATTAATATTTTGTCTTAGGATTGTATATTGCTGAGCTCCTATAATTTTTCCTATGAAATGTAGCGTCCCAAAAAACATCTGCTTACACTAATGATAATGGAATTTTTGGGAGAGATTGGACAGTAGCCACAGAGAAGTCTGAATGTGATCATCCTTAGGTACTCAAAGATATGCATCCTTACATCACATCAGCTCCTACAGACACATCATTGGGATTACAGTTTGAAGTACAATCAAACAAAAATTGCCATGGGAACTTTTATTATTTTGTAATTTTATCTGATTTATTTTTGAAATTTTCATATGTTTACTCAATAGTGCCTTATCATATAAACCATTACTCAGCCAAACCTCTTTTCAAACTTTACATCCTTGAAGCATGGTTAAGAAAGGCTCAGAAAGAGATTCTGGGGTTCAATCTAAGGATCTGAGAAGCAAAACAGCCAACCATTGGCTTTTACTTTGACCATGTTTGAAATGGCGATCCTGTTTCCATGAACCTCAGAATGAAAGTATATCAGAGGGCTTTCTCCTCCCATTTTTTAATCCTCTCTAATGCTGGTATTAAAGACTTCACCACTGTGATTAAAGGCATGCACTTCCCCTTTTCTGTGGCAACTAGTGTGGCTACTTCATTAACAGTGTGTGCAACCATTGCACGGTCTGTACGGCTGACCCATGGGGCTGTTTTACTCTCCAATCTTCAGGCCACCTTATTTATTAAAATAAAATTGCAATTCATCTACACATCCTCTTTCTATAATAATTGATTTGCTTATTCCTCAGATCCAGTTATATGGGCACATTGAAAAATAATATAAGGAAAAGAAAGGAACATTCAATTTTTCTTCATCACAAAATGAGCAACGTTGAAAGGGCAGAAAGCAGAGTGTCTCAGAGGTATGTCTATCCAAGAGGCCACAGGAAAACTTGGGACATTACAACTGTCCATAACACAAGACAGATTTTTGCTGATAATAGTAATACATGCTATGTGTAGAGCAGAAATTTGTAACATATGAAAGTGAAGCTGTCAGTATTGTGATAAATTTTCACAATGATATAATTAAGAAAATAATAGGGTAGTTTTCTCTTTTTTTTGAAGGAACTGAACAGCTAAGAAAGCTCAAACTTCCTGCTTACTCAGTTAATATTCTTTCCTTCTCAGTTCTCTGAGGCAGATGAGGATGAGATAGTTATAGTTATTGTTTTCCTTCTCACAAGATTCAGAAAAGACATTTATTAAAAGATTTAAAGTATATTTGTTTCAAAGACATTAAGAGAAAATATTTTTTATGCAAGTTAGAATAGAAAGGGAGTTAGATACTACCTTTTCTTCTCACCTAATTAGGATAGATAATGGAGTATTTTTTCCAAATTCTTTAAGCTTAATAAATTTACCAAAGTTATATGTGATTAGATATCCATATTTTTATTGTATTTTTTTATTAAGCTTTACATTTTTCTCTGCTCCCCTCCCTGCCTCTCTTCTTCCCCCTTCAACCTTTCCCTAAGCTGGCTTTCTTACCCACAAAGATTGTTCCACAAAATGAAACTTGTGCTTATAGAACATACCACCCACTTCATGGTACACTTAATTTTTATTCTGTCCTCTACAGTGATTCTGGACTTAATGTAACTAGGTTAGGCAACGGAAATGAAGGAAGAACAGACATTCAGACACATGTATTGAAAATCTGGGAGTCCATAGGCTGTACTTGCTTTGGTGAAGGTAATTCACTGTGACTGGCTTGTCAGTGCACTTATTGTAAACATCTGGATCCCGGAGGTATGTTTCCTGTATATGGCTGAGAGAGTCAGGTTTATGGTATATGGAAAAGAAAGGAGACAAATGAAGCTAGTACTGCTAGTAGGTTTTTCGAAATATCATCACAGACTGTACTTATCCATTTAGGAGGAAGGTAACTAGGAGGATAGATATACTAATCCACTGAGTCTCACCTGTGTATGGTTTGACAACCCCATGCGTTTGAGGCATTGGATCCTACCTATGGCTATATCTGTGCCAAAAACAATCCTCAACACATTCTCTCAGAACTTCATCATATACCCACAAGTGTTTAAAATATACTTTTCAGTGTATAAGGTTTGGAACTTATTGATCTTTGGATTGTATTTCTAGATAGTACATCTTCAAGGTTTTTTTTTTTTCATACAAGCATGTACATGAAATTGGAGGCTATAATTAACTGCTGTCTCTCTGTATTGGTCTTCATTTTACTTTTTAATAAAGAATTTCTTATAGTAATGCATTTAATTGGTGTAGACAGACTAGTATTTTGTGTATTTATGATTCAATTCTCTTTTTTAGTTCCTGAATCCTGTCCCAAGCATTTGAAGCTGCTGTGCTACATAGGGACAAGTTGTGTTCATCGTAAAGAGCCTGACCCTGAGGATCAGAGTAAGTCCCTCACCCAGATTTTGATCTTGGGAAATCTCAAGTCCTTATGCTTTTTCTTGTTGCTCTAAAATTTTCGATTCTTCTCTCTACTAACACTTCCAAAGTAACTGAGGTCCATTTTCTAGGACCACTGAGATTAACTGAGTCCTGTCTTGTGGCATTGCTTTGTTGCCTGAAGTCCACGTTTTGGCCATTTCCCTAATGAAGGATGAAAGTATTCCATATTATACAATTGTTTGTTTAATTTCCTTTATATCAGCCATACGTATGGACTCCCATGTATATTCTTTGATTACCTTAGGATAGGTGACAGATGTTCTTTCTGATGATATCATCAGAGAAGCAGGTAAACTCTGGGTAAGGTATTCCGGAGTTCGGTATATACTGATGAGTCTAAATTTTTTCTTTGTACCTTGTCTTTGCTCATCAAATTTGATAAATTTCTCAATCTTTTTAATTTTTTTTTACCCCTGTTTTTTGTAGAGTCTGGATCTCCTGTCCAGTGTTCTGTTCTAATGCTCTCATTGAGGACTCTCAGTTTAGATGCCTGTCCAGTGAAAATAATGTCTCATCCTTGGATATAATTTTTGTAGCATGCATTTTGTGCCTTTCTGGAGAGACATACTATCAGTCAATCTACCATAACTCTTTGACAGAGTCTGATTAATACATTCAGCAATATGAATTCTCTCAATGTCTCAGCACCCTCTGTCATTGTCTGGGTTTAGTTTTGTCAAATTGGTGGTATCATTATCCTGAGTGCTGAATTTCTCTTTTAGTTGATGATTATCAGTCTGTAAAGAGTGTATCAGTTCTAAATGTGCCTCATTTGACTGGGTTTTGTTTGTCAACTTGTCTGTGTCCTTCTCCAGAGTGCTGAATTTCTCTTGTAGTTGGTCATAATCAGTCTGTAAATACTGTATTATTTTTAAAGATGCCTCATTCTTGGCCCTATTATAAAACCATGCTTTTAAAGAGAAAAGAGCAAGGACAAAGCTAATCTTCAGATTTAAGTAGAGAGATATAGAAGGGAAATTGTTTGAATCTTGCATAACATCATACGTGATATAAGTAAGAAGGCTATTGAGCCTCTGCATTGTTTATTGTTTATTATCTTGCCCTTTTAAATTATAAATTTATAATATATGTTTTAAAAATATAAATCTTGCCAGTGGTTGAGTTCTAACTGGATTTAGTACAATAACCATTACCTGCCAGTAGGTGTCATGACACACTTGTAGCTGTGTGGTTGGTTTAAATCTGATTATATTTTTAAAAGCTAAAATATATGCTCAGAATAAAAACAGTTATGTAGTGTAAATCACAGACTGTATGCTTCACAGAAGTCCATGACTGGTACGTGGCCACACTAGCAAAAAGAGGGGAAGAAAGCAGGGAATACCACATCCCTTACTGGACCAAGAAGCCAGCCACAGAGTCATGAGTTGCCAAGGCTCTCTGAGATGTTTAATGAGAAAATATGAAGGACAGCCAGGCAGGAATTCTATACTCAAAAGAATGGTGTGGACTTGATGGCAGCTGGCTAGAACCACTGGAGACCTGAGCCCCATGACTCAGGTTGTCAACTGTAGAAATTAGCTCAATTTGGGAAATTACCAGGCTAACTAAAAGATAAAGCAATTATATTTTTGTTTATTCTAAGGGGAAAAAAATCCTCATGAAGCAGGCGCTGTATGGGAAGCAGAGAGTGCATGTGGGCCATGTGCCCTTTTTCTCTGGGTCCCAGTAAGCCACACACTAACTTCTGCCCAGCTCTTCAAGATAATTCGTTAGCAAAGCTTTCACAGTGGTCAGATATTGTCTCTGTGCACTATGAGTCTCAGAGTAGGCAGTTAATGATAGGATATCTGGAAGTAGGGAAATCTTGTCCCAGTTTCACTGTCCTTAATCTCTGGGATGGAGGCAGCCTACAAAGTAATCTTGAAGCTTTATTGAAGTGCTGAAAGAAGTGATCCAAGATATGATCTGAGATCAAATTTGGCAAGGCCAAAAATTTGAGTGTAGACAGCTTAAGCTGTTAGTAGGGAAACGGTGGGCTCTGTGTCAGAAATTTCAATTAATTATAGATCTCCTGAGTGGTTTTACTTTTTTGGTCTAAAATTACAAGGATACTGGGATATTCCCCTTCTCCTTCTTGAGAGATATCGAGTAGAGGCATGTTCATATATCAAAGCTTTATCACCTGAGTCCCAGAGAATAATTGTGCACATGTATCTTTACCTTCCTTTTGGTTTAAAAGGAGTGAGATGTTTAAATTAGAAAAGTGAAATTATACAGCAGGACCAGTGTGCCTTTACCTATACTCTGTAACATGACAGCTATAAATTTTTAGGTAAGCCTTTTGTATATGTGCCCCATCTCTATTCCTGATACCTTATCCGCAAAGACTCTCAGTTACCCTGTCCTTATGCATTAAGAGCAGTTTTATGGCTATTGAAGCAAATAAATCAATTTTTTAATAGTAGAATTCTGATAGTTCATTGCCCAGCTGCTCAAACTCAAAATAATCACAAATAAAGTGTATTACTTAACAATACTGTTTTTCTAATAGCTTTAGCATATTTGAAACCAGCTTATACACCTTAAATTAGCCCACTTATTATTTTGTTTTTTACCACGAGGCTTATGGTTTACTAAAATCCCAGTGGGTGTCTGTCTCCTGTGGCAGTTACTTGGTGTCACCTTGCCTCTGCCTACTCTCTATCTAAATGGCATTTTAGATTTTCTGCATGGTTTTGCTCTGTTAAGCCATTTGCAGAAATCAGCTTATTTATTAACCAACGGTAATAAAACATATTAAGAACATATGAAGGGGAATACCATATCAAATTTGACCTCTTGCATCTAGAGAGGTATAGACAGATGATGAATAAGGGGAATCAGTCTCTAATAGACTGACCTGTGTTAACCCATAGAGATACTTGTCCAACCATAGTGAAGTCTCCAGGGAAGTCCTAAGATAGAGGACAGTAGAAACAGAGCAAGTATTTCTGAGAAAACTAAGGATAAGGAAGTCTATGTATGAAGCCCAAGTAATTAGGCCTAAAAATATTGTGTTCATATCAAGAGCTTTGAGTCTGTCATGGACATCTAGTATCTTTGCTGATCCCTTTATTCCATTGTATCACGTTTTTATTTTTTCCTGTGTCCTGCAGAAAGCCTAGCAGACTCTTCCATGAAGCAGGAACCCCAAAGGACCTTCTCAAGTTTAGGCAAGTTCAGCAGTCATTTCTCTGTGGGTCCTACATTCCAGTTAAGCAGTTCAGGTAAGTGCAATTTCTTGCCCAAATGGCCAAGGAGACTCTTTGATGCCCATCTTCATCTTGAAGTAGCTTGATGCTACCAGGAGCAGATATATCTCACTGCCATAAAAAGTCCTAAGTTATTAAAGCATTTTAAATGGAATATTCTGAAGGTCTCTGAAAGAATTAAAGAATACCTATGTAATTGAAATATATCTCTATACAGCTGGAAAATCTAACTAACATGAGTACAAGCTTGACTATTATAAATGTTGATCTATTAACTTATATTTCTTAATTATACATTATATTTTAAATGAGCCACACAAAATCAATACCTTAATCAAGATCAGAAATACATATACATATAACAAAATTGACCTTAAATTTGTGTCAATAAACCAGGATCCATATCAATGCAAATAATTCATATCTATATCATATCCCCTTTGAATTGTAAACATTTAAAAACAATATTTGGGAATACAGGTGTAGTTTTTCCAAACTGTCTCCTGCTGTTTATTGGGAAAAGTATTTTCATTGTGGGGGTGTTTACAACAACCTTTCAGGGGGTCCTGTTCCATCACACCATATGTGTCTGGAAGCAATTCATAACTTCTCATTTTCTGTGAAAACAAAAGAAGAACCTCTTTTCCAAAGCAACGTATCCTTAAACTCAAATTTTGGAATCAAGATACCTTTATGTTAGTTTAACATAGCAGTCCATATAATAAATTTCTCTCTCTACTTAACTCCTTCATAGTCAAAATAAAAGTCAAAGGAAAACACAATAGTATACATAATCCAGACTCTCTGTCAATTTTCCATCTTTCCATGGCTTATTCTTTTTTTTTAATATAATTTTTTTATTGAAAAAAAAAAGATTTCCGCCTCCTCCCCGCCTCCCATTTCCCTCCCCGTCTCACTTTTCCCCCCTCCTCCCTCTCCTCTCCCCCCCCCCCCACTCCTCTCCCCCTCCCTCTCCAGTCTGAGGGGCAGTCAGGGTTCCCTGCCCTGTGGAAAGTCCAAAGTCCTCCCCGCTCCATCTTGGTCTAGGAAGGTGGACATCCAAACTGGCTAGGCTCCAGAACATGAAGTAGGATCAAAACCCAGTGGCATTGTCCTTGGCTTCTCAGCAGCCCTCATTGTCCGCCATATTCAGAGAGTCCGGTTTTATCCCATGGTTTTTCAGTCGTAGTCCAGCTGGCCTTGGTGAGCTCACAATAGATCAGCCCCACTGTCTCCGTGGGTGGGTGCACCCCTCGTGGTCCTGACTTCTTTGCTCATATTTTCCCTCCTTCTGCTCCTCCTTGGGACATTGGGAGCTCAGTCAGCGGTAAAAAACAATGACTTCTCGAATTTTGCATGCAAATGGATGGAAATAGAACACACTATCCTGAGTGAGGTAACCCAGACCCAAAAAGATGAACTTGGGATGTACTCACTCATAATTGGTTTCTAGAGATAAATAAAGGTCAGTGAGTCTATAATTTGATCTCCTAAAGAAGCTAAATAAGAAGGTGATCCCAAAGAAAAACATATAGCTATCCTCCTGATTATGGGAAGTAGACAAGATTGCCTGGCAAAAAATGGGATCTTGGGGGAGGGGGGGGGGGGGGGAAGGGGAGATGGGGAGAGAAAAGTGAGAAGGGGAGGTTGGGGGGAACTTGGGAAACGGGATGTTTGGGATAAAGGAAGGTCGGATAGGGGAGCAGGGAAGCACCCATCTTAATTAAGGGAGCCATCTTAGGGTTGGCAAGAGATTTGGTGCTCCCAGGTGCCCAGGGCGATGTCCCCAGTTAGTTCCTGGGGCAGCTGAGGACAGAGAACCTGTAATGACCCTATCCTATAGCCATACTGATTAATATCTTGCATATCACCATAGAACCTTCATCTGGAGATGGATGGAGATAGAGACAGAGACCCACCCTGGAGCACTGGACTGAGATTCCATGGCTTATTCTTTGTTTACTCCTTTTAATCTGTGACTTTCTGTGCTCTGTCTCTTTAAAGACTTTACCTTTTTTGAAAAAACCATTTACTTCTTTTTAATACTGTCTATATTATTTTTCTTCTCTCTCCCAAGTCTATATACATTTATCCAAACACTATGACCCTTTTATAGGTATTTTTTATCTGGATTTGTCTTTATAGCATATTTGTAATTATTTTCTGACCAGAAGCGCTTCTTAAAATGCTAAGTGCTTATGTCCCATTACTAGGCTATATACGGTATTACCTGGTACCATGCCAGTTCCAAACTGGTGAAGCTGCTCACTGCTTCCAAGAGCCATACAGATTACCCCACTTTCAGGCACAAAGCCAGTCCACATTGACATCAACCAAGTCGCAGCACACTTGACACAAACCCCATCCAAATGCTCTGTTTCCTGAAAGAGCCAGAGATCATGCTGGCAGCACAATGCCATGGCAATATTTTTTTTGCTACCATTGAATTAGGAAAATCTCTCTTAAAGGAGCTGTTGCACACTGCCTGCAAACACCAACAAGCTGTGTTAAGCTCTGTACTTTTGTGTTTAGAGTTTCTTTCTAAGGCCTCTCAGGTTTGATGTGGATTTAGATAGCCACGATGGTGCCAGTTTGTTGTATGGAGACACTTGTTTGTTCCCAGCTGCTCAGCCCCAATATAATCACATAGAAAATCTATTAATTAAATCACTGCTTGGCCCATTAGCTTTAGGTTCTGATTGGCTAACACTTACATATTAATTTAACATGTAATCTATGCATCACCAAAGGTTGTGACCTACCAGCAAAGTTTCACCATGTCTATCTCTGGCAGCGGCTCCATGGTGTCTCTCCTTTTTCCACCTTCCTACTCCCAGCATTCAGTCCAGTTTTCCCTGCCTATCTAGTTCTGCCTTATCAACAGGCCAAGGCTGTTTCTTTATTCATTAATTGATAAAGGCAACACATAGACAGAAGGATCACTGACACCATAATTACTTGGTGTTTTAAGTTTGGGTATCAAAATGATAATCACTTTTTCTTATCATGTCAAAAAAAAGTTTTTCCTCCTTTTTGGATTGGGTTATTTAAAGATCATAAGAAATAAAGCTGTGTACAATCAGTATTCACTTCCCTGCCCCCTTGTTACTATCTGTATTTCATTGGTATCCCTGATTATCCTTCCTAGGATTTCTAATTCTCATGTCCCTATGTGGAATGTACGTACTTGTCAAGTCTGGACCCTGAGAGATGTTGCCACAATGTGTGGCTATTACAGATGTCATTCATTGTGGGGTACAACAGATCGAGAAGGTGTTGGACACCACAGATGAATGAGAAACCACAGGTTTATGTAAAAAAAGGAGCAGTCAGATGAAAAGTAAATTTAGAGTATGGTGAATAACTCAGCAGTAAAATTGTAAATATTTGTAGAATTGGGGCAATGAAAGAGTATTCACCTATTTGAATATTTGCTAGGATGTATTTTGATATCCAGAGGAGGTGGGGTGAAACAGACATAAATGCAGAGGTTTCTAGAATTTCTCGCTCGTGTAAATCTGCCTCCCTGACTCTTGTGGCAGAACCATGCCATTTTCAGGCTATTCCTTGGCTTGGAGGAGTGAAAGCGGTGAGCCCATGCTTTGACTGACTTTTCAAGCAGCTGTTGCCACCACTGGCCCACCAGATAATTGTGAGCCAAGGTCACTGTTTTCCAACGGGACAGGCACATGACAGAGAACACAGATAGATGCCCTAACCTGGCAGTCAGCTGCAGAATGCAGCCACAGGGAGCCGAGACCCCGATAACAGTAATCCAATATGTAAAGGTGCTTTAATCTTTTAGAAAGAAAGATGACATCTCTGATCATATTTAGATTGTTCAGATATTGTCCCCTCATATACATATACAGGACATAGCTGTAGCTGCTGCTTTTCTGAAAAGTTAAAGAAGTTCTCTCTCAACAGAGAAATCAAATTAAGGTAGGTGAGGAGAGGTTGGATTTGGTTCATCTGATACCTATTGGCTATAAGACGTTGGTCCACAATGACCAGAACTCACTTCTTGTATAAAAGGAAAAGCTTTTCTGGTCATCTGTGTACTGGTGCAGATATTTTTGCTATAACGGCCAGCCAATGGCCTTCAAGGTGGCCTAAAATGGAGACTATTAGACAGTTGTGTGGGATAGGTCAACCTCAAAATCCTAGAAAAACTAGCAATGAACTTTACTGGAGAGATGGAGAGGATTATGAAGAATTTTTTTGGCAACACAATGTTTGTCATTTACCTGTAAATTTCAGGGACCTAGAAATTATGATCCATATGTGGGTATATTTATGTTACCCCAACACAGTTATTGCTAATCAAATAATTCCAGGAAGGGTTGTTTCAAATCATGGGCTGGGCAAGAATGAGAGACAGATTGATCCCATCATACTTATCATAAGTCCTCCCTGACAGGATTTTGGTATTTTCAGGAAAAGTCACTAAAAGCCTGCACTTCATGCAGACTCAATTTTTGGAAAAGTGATGATCAGGTAAATCAGTGGTATATAAAAGGACAAAAAATAATAAGCTTCCCAGCAAATGGTTCAGGAACAACTGTACCACATTACACATTAAACCCTCCATTTCCCCATGGAATTATCCTGGTTTTGTGATTAAAATGAAATTAGGAAATTGGATATTAATACAAGATTTAAGAGAAGTTAATGAGACTATGCAGCCAATTTGTATGTTACAGCCTTGGTTGCCTTCTCCTACAGCCAAACCAAAAGATAGTTTTAAGATTATTTAAGGTTTAAAAGAGAGTTTTTATGCCACCTGTTTTGCACCACAAGATTGTCAAATATTTGCAATTAGTATTCCATTAGTTAATTTCTGAAAAGATATTATTGGAGCATCTAGTTTCAGGGTATGGAAAATAGTGCTACATTATGCCAGAAATTATGTTATATATGAATCAGTGGCTCAGGCTACATGAAGTGTCAGAAATCAATTTCCACAAGTTTATATTGTCTATGATATTGATGATATCTTGTTTTCCCATAAAATGAAAGAGTTTTGCTTGAGACATATGGACAACTTCAGCAGAGTCTTACCAAGTAGGGTTATTTATTGCTCCAGTAAAAGTACAAACACACCCACCATCCCAGTATTTAGGGATGTTATGTTATAGCCTAAAAAAATTAAGCCTGGAGAATTATCAATGAGGAAGGATAGCTTACAGACTCTGCATCATTTTCAGAGATTGTTTGGAAATATACAGTGGCTGAGACCTTATTTTAATTCCCTATAAGAGACCTTACACCACTAAATAAAATTCTCAAAGAGAGCACTGACCCAGATTTCACCAGACACATCACAGTTGCTACTAAACAGGTACCCGAGCAGGTGGAAAATGAAGCAGAGAAAGAGCAGATTGAACCCCACCCTTGCAATGTGAGTTCTGTGTCCAAAGACATAATATGGATTGGTGTGGGAGTTTCTTCTGCCTGTGTGTTGCTTTTCTTGGTTAATGAATAAAGAAACTGTTTTGGCCTATTGATAGGGCAAAACTTAGGTAGGCAGGGAAGACAGAACTGAATGCTGGGAAAAGGAAAGAGTCAGGGAGTTTCCATGGATCCACCGCCAGAGGTAGATGTGCTGAAACTTTCTGGTAGACCAAAACCTCGGGGTGATACACACATTAATGGAAATGGGTTAAATTAATTAGCCAATAAGAAGTTAGGGATAACGGCCCAAGCAGTGTTTTAAATAATACAGCTTCGGTGTGATTATTTCTGGTGTAAGCTAGTTGGGTGGCCAGGAAGAACAAGCAGCCTACTCCTTCAACAATTAATAAAGGGCCAAACCCACAGTCAGCAATCTTGGGTAGGCGCCTAAGTAAACAGGACTCATTATGTTTGGAAAGTTTGTAATATAGGTCCACCAAGAAGCTGTAAATCACCAACCATCACATGATCCTCCTTCCTTTCTCAGACTGCAACAGAACATTATAGGGTCAGAAATGTAGGCTCAGTAGTTGCACGTTGACCCTTTTGAGTTGGCAGGAAATGCTAGGCTTCTTTTCATTCTTGTTCACATACACATAAACATTTTTCCTAAAATTTTTGAGAAATATTTTGCCTAGTATAATTTTTGTCATTATTAAAATGAATTAAATTATAATTAGTAAGTGACATATTAGAGCCTTGAGCATATATCAAATAATTTTATATTTATATATGGGTCTGTATGATTCTGTAGAAATTTTCATTTATCATTAAGACAAAGGGAACACACATATGGGTACCTGAATGCCCACTGTTCCCAATCTTTATATTACTTGTGAATATTGCATTTATAATAATATTAATACATCTTTTATAGGAATTTGCTGTTTTTAAACATTATTTTGATCTTACTAATTATATTAGAATGATTTTCTGCTTAAGTATACATTTTTTACAACTACTCTATAGTCGTTCTTAACTATTTTCTCCTTTCCTTCTATGATGTAGACACATGAACTCATCAACCTGCGGAAGATGATCTCAGACTCAGGCACTGAGGAGGTCCTTCTTTGCCTACTCCTGAGAAGGTTTTGATGAAGTCACACACCACACACCTAGCTAGTTTTATTGTAATTTGTGGTGCTTTTTGCCTTTTATTTTTCATTATTTGTTGCTCCTCTGTAAAACTCAACTGAATTTCTTTATCTCAACACATTAGCATGTTTCCTGACCATATTTTTAATCTATATATGTTATGCATGTGTTATTATTTCTGTAGAGATCACACTATTTTATTTCCACCTAGAAATAGTTAATATTTCTTCTATAGAAACACCTACTGTTCATTTTCTCCACTAATTTTTCTGCAAATATTCAGTGAAGTGGCATCTACTTATCTTTTCCTTTCTAACTTTTGGGAAAGTAGTGAAACTTTTAGGATTCTAGGTATTAGCTTTCATTTAAACTCATGAAATTTCACAGATGAGGTAGAATATGACTGGAGGTTTACATAGAATAGAAAGTCATATGAATAATGATAACACAAATGAACATAGTAAATTGAAAAAGAAGAGCCCAGAATGACTAAAATCTACACAAATCACTGTATGCTACTGAGGAAATCTAGAAAAGGGATATGTCATTCTTATGGAAGAGCACAAAATTTTATTATTTAGTACCAAAAGGCCTGCTTTGAAAACATAATGCAGGTTATTATTAACAGAGTTATCAGGTTATATTTAAGAATGAATCTGCATTGTATACATATATGCACCCAGCAACAATTACAGAAAACTGAGGGCACAAATTTGAAGGAGAATGTATAGAGGTATATAGGAGGGTTTGAAAGAGCAAAGAAAAGGGAGAAATGTTGTAATTAAATTATAGTCTCACAAATAAAAAATGGAATAGCCTATTATATACACAGACATGCACACACACATGCATGAGTACATATGCACACACATTTGTGCACAAACATATGGATGCCCACAAACACACATTCAGACACAAAAAGAGAAGACAAAGTTCTCAAAATTAGCACACAATAGTTTGACTCGGAATAGGAGAGGATTTTTCAGTTAGGTTATGGATGGTGGCTGTTTACAAATATAATATTTATGTATTTATAGTGAGTAAAATATTTTTAAGAAATGAAGTCACCAGGGAAACTGTAGTAGAGTTTATATTCTGTATGTTACCAACATGCACACATGCCTTCACATCTGATACCACACTGAATGTTCATACACACATATGTACAGACACAGTACAATACGTGTATGCACATGGGCATATACACAAAGAAGAAATTTATCAAAGTTAACATAGATAGTGATTGTAAGGATGGGTGGATTTTAGATTATATTATAGAGGTTGGAATTTTACAAACACACAAGATTTTAATCTTTCGATTATATAAGTTATTTTCCCAGAAATGAAGGCACCAGACAAACGTTAGCAGAGTTTATTCTCTGGAGGTCACCTACATGAACACATATGTGCCTTCTCCACATGAAAACTGCTCTGCATACATATACACACAAACACACACAGAGCAAGTGTGTATGAGAGAGATAGGTTAAATACATATTGAATTTGACAGTTTGCTTTTTCTAAAACACCTCTTAAATTAATTTTTTCCATTATGGCTGTTGCGGACATTCCATTCTCATTGGTTATTTTGACCAACTGGGGCTCAACAGCACCATTCATATCTTTATTGCAAGCGCTATTGTTATGGCACTGTAATATTCATAAAGTTCTAATCCAGGGTGATGGCTTGTGCATATAATCAAGACACTTGGGGGAAACTTGCACAGGCACAGTGCAGAGGGTCAGCACCCATCAGAATGAACCAGTACAAAGTGGACGATTCCTGGTCAATAGCCAGTTTCTAGGTCCAAGCAGCCTGATATGCTCAGCCTTTAGGTGAAAATAGCTTGTTTTCTCTGTCCTCAACGATAGTCAGAGCCCAGGTTAAATGACTTTTTCTCCTGACTTTGTCCTGTCAGTTTCCCTGCTTCTGCTGCAACAGATAGGAGGACGAGAAAGAAACAACATAGCCGCCTTTGCTGGGAAGCTCCCAAGTTACAACAGGCTTTCATTTCTGTACCTAGGATTGAGCACTCCCCCTTTCTCCAGTGAATGTTCCATATCCATTCTGTATTTGATTGTACACACTCAGTCAGTCACAGGCAAACTTCACACAGGGCTTTTGCCAGTCAGACTCCAGACTGCAGTACACCTCTCAGCTGGTTTCAGGTTCTAGTCAGGTCTTCCCTACAACCTACCTACAAGTGAAGGAGAGCTGCTTCTGAGACCTGAAAGGAGACACAACCAGTGGCAATGCAGTAGGTACTGTAGGGTGGCATGGTGGGCTTTCCTCCATTTCTTCTCTGAATGATTTTATAGTATTTTATCTGTTGGAAATTTATTCCCATATCTGTATTTAGTCCTCAGGCTGATTTTCTTTTAGAATACATCATTTTTCATTTTTTACCTATTATTGGATTCTGGCTTTATCTGAAACTGGGTGATTTAACTTGATATCAATATCCAATGGAGAGAAGGACCTCTTGCTTTTCACATAGCTTTTATGCACCTACTATGTGCAGAATTGATTATTGTGTATAGTTCTCACCCTGACACCCTGAGACTATGAGACTTAGAACTAGAACATTTGCTGATATCCCTCTTTGTCAAGTAGGATTTTGTTTTCATTGATAATTGTATTTCACACAGCATATCACTATTTCTGTTTCCCCTCACCCAAATCCTGCTAGGTACCCCATGCTTGCCATCCACCTACCCAATCTACACTGTCATTCCTTATATTATAAGGCATACTCCTCCTCCTCCTCCTCCTCCTACTACTACTACGATTAATACTCCTAACAACAACACTATTTATAATAAATTTTAATAGAGAAACCAGGTTAGAATGAAAGAAGTAAATAATCAGGAGATAAATAGCCAAAGAAAAGCTACAAGAATCACATAGATATGATATAATAAGATTTTAATCACAGGAATCTTATAAAAATATAAAACTTGAAACCATTAATACATAGACAAGGGCACTGCAAGGTTAAATTAAAAGCCCCGATGATGCGCTATGAGACAAATAATGTCTAAAAATGCCATTGAGTACTTTTTGTGGAGCCATTTACTTGAGGGCCCTGCCCTTAAGAGGGATTTGTATATGCAGGGAGACTTCAATGGTGAAATTTAACTTTTGATGTACTTTGATTATCAATTAGTCATAGCTCCTGATTTAGAGATGGGGGCTTGTTCTGACACTCTTTCCCTGGTACCCAATAGACATCTCTCAGGAAGAAGAGAACTATAACAACGACATCCTACCTCATTACCTTTCTACTACTGTCATGATTCTTGCATATTCTACTTTCCAAGACAGGTTCTGTTGTCAAGTGCCTATTGTTACCACTGTGAAGCAAATAAATCTGTTTACTCCTGCTCTCTGTTCCCTGTATCATTTGAGATTGAACGTGTAAGAGGCCGGTTCACACTCCCAAGGAAAGAACATTTCACCAAAATATCCTTTCTCTTTTATTTGCGATTATGATTTTATTTCCCCTTTCCTTTTTATTTATACCCTTCTAATTATAAATTAACACTCTCTAACACATGTTCTCTTTTTCACTAGTTGATATTGCATACACATGCACATATATATATATATATCATATAAACTATTCTGTCTATATAATATTGCTTGTAACTTTCTTTTCAGGAGTGATTGTTTAGAGTTGTAATCATCATTTCGCATCTAACATGAAGCAATCAACAGTTGCTTTCACCTGTCACTTAAGTGAGGTAAGTCATATAATTTAATGAAGTTAAATTAATTTGAGTTGCTTCTTGAAATCATGCATGATTTTCATTTATATTTCTTACAAATCATCCTGTGGCTAAGTACATCCTATGCCATTTATTCTTCATCTTCCTAATGCAGCAACACTTTAATACAGTTTCCTATGTTGTGTTGACCCCCAATCATAAAACTGTTTGTGTTGCTACTGCATAACTGTTATTCTGCTACTGCAATTAATTATAATGTCAGTGTCTGTGTTTCCTTGTGGTCTTAGGTAACACTAGTGATAGAGTGGTTTTCTTCTGAAGGGGTTAAGACCGAAAGATTGAACACCATGGTGTTATGTAAATTTTATTTTTTTCATGTTTCCTTTCTTATAGAATATTTTAACAGGGTAAGAGTTCAGGCTCAGGATAATTGTAAAGTGACACACATTAGAAATATCTCAGCAAATGAAACAACAATGAAAATATTTCTTCACTTACAGACCTCAGAGTAAGAAACTCACATGCCTCAAAGTTAATGGAATAACAGATTGAATACACGGCAGGGAATGTTGAAGTTATAATCAGATGTAGATACTCATATAGCTAAATATAGGTAAATAGGTGCAGAAGAGGAAGTGACCAGAGTGTAGTCATTTTCTTTTTATCATGCATACATGCTTTGAAAAACTTCTGCTTCCGTTCCATCATCAGTTCAGAGTAACGAATGACAGCCTGAGAGACACATGACTTCCAGGCCCATTAGCGTCCCCAGTAGTAGTAAGTGAAAGAGAACAAGGGAAGTCTCTGTGTAGTTGCTCAGGCTTCTAATGGACTCCTCTTTTCCTTCATGGATTTCTGCACCTACTTTTAGATTTCTATAGCAGCTTTACATGACAGAAAGCAAAGAAGAGAAAAGTCTGAACAGAATAGATTATTTATTTCAAACAACAATGCAAGAGAGTCTGTTTGGAAAGGAGTACCTACCTTGGTCTGAGTCTAGAAGAGTTTGTTCAAGGTATATACAAAAATCCTCACCCAGAATTTGAGAAGTCCTATAATGAAGTTTATTTACCTTATTGAAAGTCACACAGAAGAAATTGGTTGTGCCCTTGACTATATAACAATCACTCCAACAGCCCCTATCTGAGAGAATTCTTTCTCAGTGGCTCATAGAGTTGGAATCTCCTGTCAGTCTCTAAGTTCAATAAAAGTGAGAATCACAGGATGAATGTATTAACCATGAATCAGTGACTTTGATGACATCTGTGTTGAGGTTTCCCATGGATTGTTTAGGGAGAAGTAGCTGGGACTGGAGTTGAAGGAAATGTAGTTATCTTCCTGGTTAGGAAAGAAAAGTTAGTTTTCATTCTGGATATACTTGGCAATGATCCATGTGGATGGTCGTTCCAATGCTGAATCCTTTCTTATCCCAAGTTTGTATCCTTAGCCCATGTACTATCAAAAGCCAAGTATAGGAATCTGAGGGTATACTTGCTGTGGGCGTTGGACACTTGGGGGAGGCTGCTCATTTGTTTGCTGGCAATCCAGACTCCCAAAATAATTACATAGAAATCTGTATTAATTGCCATGCTGTATGACCAGTACCTTAAGCATTTTTCTACCTAGTCCTTACCTCTTAAATCAACAAATTTCTATTAGTCTGTGCATACCACAAGGTTATGGCTTCCCAAAAAGTTTCCAAAGTCGGTCTCCTTTGAGGCAGCTAAATGGCATTCCTGACTCTGCCTATTCTTTCCTCGTCTATCTGCTTGGAATCCTCACATTGCCCTATTCTGCTAAGCCACTAGCCAAAAAAGCTTTATCCATTAAATAATAAAAGCAAAAACACAGGCAGAAACACTTCCCACACAATATTCCTTTTCTTTTTAAATAAAAAGGAAGGTTTTAACTTTAACATTGTAAATTTTAAAATTTACATTATAAATTTTTACATTATAAATTGTAAATATATATATATACAGGTATTAAGCAAGAGTTATAGTTATATAATTGATCTTAAATTTGTGTCAATGAACCAAGATCCATACCAATACAATTCTCTATAGCATACACTTGCTTAAATTTATCTGTTGTTTTAGCTTTCCTAGCATGAAAGCAAACTCAAAAAGCATCTTAAATTTTCTGGAATATGGAAAAGAAAGTGATACTCAGCATGTTATGAATTCAAGATGGAAATAGCTTGAAATTAAAATTGAATTCAATTGAGTGAATTAAGATCACAAAGTTCTGTCTCTGTTTTGGAATCCTTAACTGTGTGCCAGAAGCCATGAGAACTGTTAAATAATTGCCAAAAAAATCATATGGCTACTGGGAAGTTGTCATTTTTCATCCTTAGAGATTTCAAGAAAAGAGGCCTGAATATGTTTCCTCAAATGTGATGACAAAAAGCATAGCACATAGGAGGAAACATGCGCTTTCCCTTGCCAGCATGATCCACATTACTTGAGATATATTAATTCTGATGGAGAATCATATTTCAGCACGGGCAGAGTGCAGTGTGAGCAAATTATCCTCTCCTTTAGATGATAGCATCTCTGTCCTTCCTAAAGCCCTCTCTGCACACTTTTGTAGCATTTCCACTTTGGACTATGTCATTGCAAATATTGTTTACAATGCTCTCTGTTGGTCTTCTGAATAAAACTAGAGGCCTCAGAGATCCCCTAGATCTCCTAGATGATGGAAGAAAGGGGAAAGAAGTGGCAAGCTCAGAAACTGTAGGACCTGACACTGTTATTGCTCTAGAAGACTTCCCTGACTATGTAGTGCCATATAAAGAAACAGAGCTTTTGAATACCTTATGTAAAAATTTCGTTTGTAGTACATTAGAGGAAACGCTGTCAGAATTGCTCTGAGAAACAGTTGGTTCAAACACTCCAATAGGGTCTGGAGAAAAAAATAAAAGGTCAAACACTGTGGCTCTGAAGTCAAACTCTGTTTTGAGCTTCTGTAGTGATTTTAGATTCTTGCTTTCAGTGATTAATCTATGTATGTAGCATCTAATTTCACTGCTTTCTTGTTCTTGGCATTAATTTTTCTTCTTACATACCATCTCTTTAATTTATGCTGTCTTAGAAGATATTGCTGGAAATTCTCCAGACATGCAAGGATATTTTTATACTAGTAGAAGTAGTAGTAGGATGTCTTTAGGCATCCCCTTGTTTACATTCCTTTCTCTTGGTAATTCCTCTACAGGTTCTACTAGTTCCAACCATGAATCTTGGCCCTGTTACTCTGGAGTGAAACATATTTGGGAAGATGCATATTAACAGAAAGCTCATGTTAAGACATTTGCAGAATATAAAATCATTGCAATCGATTTAAAACCAGGTCTTTATTGCTTCTAATACCTTAATGACTAAACTGAAAGCAACTTTTGGGTGCATGGCACCATTGTCTCTTTTTTGTCCTTACAGTCAGTGGCCAAGATTCAGTAGTGTCAGCAGTTGTCTCTGGGAATGACTGCCTACCTTTTTATCCAAGGACCAGACAAGAATGCGATGAACAACAAATGCCATCTTTAAAGTGAGTTACAACTCTGGCTGTCAGCTATGGATAATAATAGCATGCAATGGATTTTTTCCAAATGTCTGTCTTGCGCAGAAGTATTGTCTAACCCATATAACTAATTGACCACGACACATTTTATTCAACTCTGCCAGAAATAAAAATGGTCTTTTGAAATGGTTAGAGTTTATAGGCCAAGGAAGATGAGGTGCAAATATAGGGAAAGCTAGCATGCCTGCTAGGAAAAGAACTTTTTTTGGAAACTTGGGGTGAGAGTACCCACACTTCACTAAGTAGCACATTATCTCTGTTGTTTAAATAATCATGAAACACCACTGGTTCCCTGAAAGCAGGATTTTGTAGAAATGTAAATTAGTTTTCCATTGGGATCTCAAGAGAATTTATAGATGTTTAAATATCACTCCATTGGAAGAAATATCATTTTGGAGGATACAGAGATGCTACCAGTGAGATTGGGTAGAACAACTATGTTATTCTTGATATGGCAAAGGAGAAAAGTAAGTAAACATATTTTGCATAAATNATGGGTAGAACAATTATGTTATTCTTGATATGGCAAAGGAGAAAAATAACTGCAAATATTGTGCATAAGTTAGTGGAGATTACAGACAGTATTTTATATGGGTCTTTTTTTTTTAACCTTGTAAGGGAGTAGAAGGGTTGTAGTAAAGATGTTGGTAATATAATATGGGAAGGTGCATTGCTAAGGTGAGGTCACTGAGACAGTGATTGTACATTAGTGAAATCACCGCACAGTTGTCTTTTTCTGTTTGTATGGAGGGGCAGGCACGATTGAGAGGTGTGTGACTGGTTTATGCCTGAGAAATGTACATTAGGGTCAGAAGTATTAGTGAGGGGCTTTGGAAAAAACATGGCTATTGCTGTGCACAATGAGAGATGTGTCTCTTGGTGAGTGTCAGCTTTGACTAATAACGCCTGTATAATGTAGGAACTGCATCAGGTAAGGTCTGGGAAGCTGACAATTTGCTATTAGTTTTCAATACAGTAGGTATATTGAATGAAAGAAAAGGAAGTGTCTGCTAGTGTTTATTATATCTATGGAGGATAAGGTGTAAGACGGATCAAATTAGATTAGCAATACAGAGAACCATCTACTAACCTAAATCTTAGAACTCATTGATGTCTTGTAGCAAGAGGAAGGGAGTGACATAGAAAAATCACAAGATATATCTTGTAACCTGCTTTTCATAAAGATAAATAGAAAATCCATGAGCTGGAAAGTAGATATTAATCTTTATTTTATTTAGGTATCTGAGAAAATGTTTTTCAAAATTTCTAGTATTACAAAAATGTTTCAGTAAGCAAAAAACTAATCTCTCGCAGCCTGCTATGTGCTTTCACTGGATATGGGAGAGAACAGATTAAAAATAAATAATTTTGTACACTGTGAAGGCAGAGAATCTGAGCACCATGGCCACGTAACCCCCTTAGTATATTGGGTACATAAACTGACACAGTAGAAGGCTAATCAGTCCCTTCATGATTATTTCATGTGTGCCACAATAAATAATGCATCATCACTGGAGACGTCCCTGTGAATATTAAAGACTAGAGGGCAGAATAAATGGGGAGAGAACTACTGAGGAAATTAAATAGGAGGAAAGAAACGAGTGATTTACTGTTGACTGAGATAGCACAGTGTTCACTACTGGCTTCAGGAAGGCATGGGACTTACCAAGAATCAGGAGGTTAGTATAGAGATGTGGTAGGTTTGCTGAATATTTGCTAGGTCCCCATCTTTGTAAAGTTAGAATTTTTTTGGTAGATAAAGATACCCAACCTACAAAGGTTGTGCAGAAAATGAGATTGCATTCTGGAGGAGGTCAGAGGCAGGATAAGCAAAGGAAGCTCAAGTGTGATATATGAAGGGAAGTTTTATGATGTGTCCAGGTTCCTAATGAAAACAATTGAATGGAGCAAATACTTTTCAAGAAACTTTTGTATGGATTTAAACCCTGACTAGAGCTTATATCCACTTATGAGTGATTCTATACCATGTTTGTTTTTCTGGGACCTCATACAAGATAATTTTTTTTCTAGTTCCTTTCCTTTGACCATAAATTTCATGATGTCATTGTTTTTTTTTTTTTCTGCTGACTAATACTCCATTGCGTTAATGCATCATATTTTCTGTATCCATTCTTTGGCTGAGGGTAATCTAAGTTGTTTCCAACTTCTGGATATTATAAAAAATACTGCTATGAACATAGTTCAGCAAGTTTCCTTGTGTTACGAGCATCCTTTGGGTATATGCCCAAGATTTGTATTGCTGGATCTTGAAGTGGATTGATTCCCAGTTTTTTGAGGAACCTGCATACCAATTTCCAAAGTGACTCTACAATTTTGCACTCCCACCAGCAGTGGAGAAGTATTCCTCTTACTTCACATACTCCCCCAGGTAGGCTGTCATTAGTGTTTTTTTATCTTAACTATTCTGACATGTGTAAGATGGTATCTCAGACTTGCTTTGATATGCATTTCCATTCTGCCTAAGGAGGTTGAACAATTTTTAAGTGTATTTTTGCCATTTGAGATTCCTCTGTTGAGAATTTTCTGTTTTAACGTGTACACCACTTATAACTGCATTATTTGATAGTTTGATGTCAGGTTCCTTGAATTTTTTTTGTATATTTTGACCAGCCCTCTGTCAGATGTGGGGTTAGTGATAATCTTTTCACATTTTGTACTCTGCTGTTTTGTCTTACTAGTATCCTTTGTCTTACAGAAGCTTTTCCATTCCGGCAGGTCCCACCTATGAATTGTTGATCTCTGTGTCAGTGCTACTGTTGTCATATTCGGGACATTGTCCCCTTTGCCAATGAATTCAAGGGTACGTCCTACCTCATCGTATGTACTCACTCATAAGTACATCTTAGGTGTAAATTAAAGGATAGCCAGGCTAGAATCCACTGACGCAGAAAAGCTAAACATCAATGAGGGGCTGAACAGAGAGACATGAATTTTCCCTGAGAATGGGAAATAGAAGAGATCCCTTGAGTAATCTGAGAGTGGGGGTGATGTGGAGCTGTGGGAATATGGGGATTCAGGTTGTGTGTATTGGGACTGGGATGAATGGAGGGAATAATGAAAGAATATCTTGAATGGGGAGCATTTTGTGGTTAGGGGAAATCTGATGCCAGTGAAACTCCCTAGGAATCCATAAGAATTATCCCAGTTGAGACTCCTAGCAATAGGGCTGGAGAGATGGCTCAGTGGTTAAGAGCATTGCCTACTCTTTCAGAGGTCCTGAGTTCAATTACCGGCAACCACATGGTGGCTCACAACCATCTGTAATGAGGTCTGGTCTGCAGACATACAGACAGAATATTGTATACATAACAAATAAATAAATATTTAAAAAAGACTCCTAGCAATAATGGAGAGGCCGACTTTACTGGTCTCTTATAATCAGATTGGTTACTATTCTAATTGTCATCAGAGAGAATTCATCAGGTAACTGATGGAATTAGATGCAGAGATCCACATCCGAGCACCCTGCCAATCTCTAGGGCCCTGTTGAAGAGAGAGAGAGAGGAAAGAATGTATGAGTCAGGGGTCAAGGTCAAGACAGGCAACCCCACAGAGCCACTGTACCTGAGTTCATTCGTGTTCGTGTTCTTGATCTCTGGGTTAATGGCTAGGGGACCCACATGGGATTGACCTAGGCTCCCTGCATGTGTGTGGCAGTAGTGTAGCTTGGTCTGTTTGTGGGATCAGGACCTGTCCATGGTGCTTGAGCTGGTTTTGTGGAACCCTATCCCAAAGCTTGTTTGCCTTGTCTGAAGTCGATACTTGGTCCTGCCTCAACTTGTTATCCCTTGCTTTGTTGACTCTCATGGGAGGCCTGCCCTTTTCTGAAAGGAGATAGGGGGGGAGTATTTGGAGGACGCTAGAAGGAAGGTGTTTGGGAGGGGATGGGAACAGTGGAGTGTGGGGAAACTGTGATATGTATATTACAGTTTCACAGAAGGCATCTAGCATAAATTAATACAGGTGAAGACAATCAAATCTATCCCTCGTCAGTGCAAATTATGCCTCTAGACTAATCAATGTTTAATCTTCTTCTGTGAACAGAAATATTAAATAGTTGGGATGATTTGCATAGTTAGGACCTCTACGAGCATTCAGGTCTCATGGATGGCAGGTAGTATTTGGCACTAAGGTCCGAGAAGGAAGCAGAGCCACTGTGATATTTCAGAAAATCAACCTAACTAATACTGTAGGACTAGAGTACATGATCTCACTGGACATTTAACATGGGTAGAGTAGAGCAAAAAGATTCAGGTTCACCAACACAATCATAGGTGTTGAAATGAAGGAATTTTATGTATAATAGTTAGTGCTTCCTGTCCATAGTGATATATGGAAGAAATAATTGATGCTGATAGATTGATTCTATGCTGAACATTGATTATTATTTGACTTAGTAGGTCCTTGGTTTTGAAATCTTGATATCACTTGACACTTGTTCACAGATGACACTTGGTGTCCCAAGTGCTTTACCATGGTTATTTTTAATGTCATACTATTTAATATAGTGCATTGGCTCAGAAATTTGCATTATTGATTACATAGAGTGAATATCCTTGAGGACCTTGAATTGTTTTTAATGGATTTATTTCTCTTCCCTTTAAGGTAAAATATTCCTGGGTCAGAATTTGGCTCAGTCAGTTGCATTCATACTTTGAAATTAAGAACATCTGAGTTTTTTCTGGAAGAAACAGGTAAAATTCCAGAAATAGTATTCTGGGCATGCAATCCCAGGGAATGAATGACAGTGACAGATCTTTGAGTTTTGCAATATTTCCAAACTAGGTTACTTGGTGAATTTTAATGAATGTAACTGTTTCAAGTGAACCTGAACATAGGAGATATTTGCATCAAAATAGTATTTTTTGAATGTAATTGCAAAGTTGCACACATGAGCTCCAAGCAGTTAAAACTACACGTACCTGATTTGTATCAGGTCAAGTTAG